TTGTCAAAAATGAGAGGCAAAGGTGAAAATACGCCACAAAAAGAGGATTAAATGGAGAAGGTGAGTGTTTGTCGCCGGATCGCGTGTGTCAAATGAAAAAAAGGAGAAAATGGGCTATTTGCTAAGCCTTTAATGCATGAAGGTCGGCGGATGTTGGATGTGTGTTTGGGGATGGCTCGAATTTTCGCGGGCGGCTAGCAGAGATTCCTTGAGGAATTGGAGGGGATGGACGGGGGCAGGCTAGCAGAGATTCCTTGAGGAATTGGAGGGGATGGACGGGGGCAGGCTAGCAGAGATTCCTTGAGGAATTGGTGGGGATGGAGGGGCAGGCCAGCAGAGATTCTTTGAGGAATTGGAGGGGATGGAGGGGGCAGGCTAGCAGAGATTCTTTGAGGAATTGGAGGGGATGGAGGGGGCAGGCTAGCAGAGATTCTTTGAGGAATTGGAGGGGATGGAGGGGCAGGCTAGCAGAGATTCTTTGAGGATTTGGAGGGGATGGAGGGCAGGCTAGCAGAGATTCTTTGAGGCAAGTGCTGGGTAGCGGACTGTTACTGCAAGTCCACAATCGAGCCAAAAGTTCAGAAAAATGGGTAAACTTGATTTACGTCTCTACCATAGTAATTACAGCAATAATTCATTCGAATACATCGCCCAAAATAATTCACGTTCGTTTTTGTACACTTTCCGGACCGGAAATTGCCCCCCCCCCATGCCATCTTGAATGGATGACTACAATGTAACACAGAAAATAAACCCGAAATCCGGTCGTACGCTGGAGCCCTACGTAGTTTGGCACGTTTCGGGCGCGAGGAGAGAGAGAGAGAGAGAGAGAGAGAGAGAGAAAGAAGAGAGAGCCAACGAACACCCCATCGACGCCTCCATTGAGCCAATTGAAGATGGGCCCACGTGGGCCCTAAGAATAGGGGCCCATCTTAAGGCCCAACGCCTTCCCACCAATGGCATCATTTAATCAAATGAGTCAGCTGATTTCGAGAAGGGGAATTGTTTGCGGAAAGGCGACTATACGAAACAGGTATTTAGCAGAGATCACTTGGGGCAAGCTAGCAGCGATTCTTTGCGCCTAACCCGCTACTTTTTTTTTTGATCCACATGATCTCTATCCCTCTTTATCTCTCTCCCTCACTCACTCCCTCTCGCCCTCTCGCTCTCTCTCACTCTCTAGCCCCTCTCTCTCTCTCGCTCTCTCTCTCTCTCTATCTCTCTGGATCGCTTTCTCTCTCACGCACTTGCTCTCTAAAAAAACCGTAAAATAGTATGGCGGTGGCTGGAATGGTGGGCTTCACATGCCCACAAATGGCCCTAACAATAAAGCAGGTGCAATTTTACGACCAGAGGAAAAATGTCAATTACGGACCGCAAATACCGACAGCCAAAAAAGCCCGATAACAATCCCGGGGCCAAAAACACCGACAGCAAAAATGCCGACAAGGCTAAAATTCTGTATTAAACCGGAACATCAAAAATGCCAACACGCCTAAATGTCGACAATATTTCGCAAAGCAGTGAAAAGCATTCGTCTCCCCAAAAATTTCTAAATTTGGCCGGCGCACGACTATAAATGGCTGCTACGCGCGCTGCTAATAACACCACCCCCCAGTAAAAGGAGTCAGTTAACTAAATACCTCCGCGAAATCCGATCTGCTCCGCCCCCCCCATGAGGGTCATTTTTGCATGCTCTTTCGACCCCAAAAAAGAGTGCTAGTAGTAAGGGCACGCTAAAATGTTGCCAAAGAGCTGTCATTTTGTATAGTTCACCACGGGCATAGGGCAGAAGCCAAAAAAATGATGAAATATATCTTTTAACGGGGTGGATAAGGAATAATTCTTGATTTTACTGTTCCGGAAAAAAGATAACCACCGGGGATTATAGATTGGACGCAAGACAGTACTATAAACTTCTGCAAATGGTCACGGCTAGTTTGCCAGATCCGTAGATCAATCTAAAAATGTCTTCCACGAAGCTCTGCAAGCCTACTTTCGAGCCAATTAACTTTGAATTTCGGCCGGGAACTCGGCTATGGTTGCTTTTTTCAGGATCCCCCTCGAATAGGGTTACCAAAGCCAGGATTTCTTATCAGCCTCATCCGATCAATTAATTAGCTACAGAATGGTGGTAAATGGTCAATTTACAGAATGGTCAATTTACATTCGGACGAATTAGCATTCACCTCAAGGTTTATGAGGACCTCCCATATCAGAAGAATCAGGAGTTGAATGGCCCGGTGGTAAGCGGCTAGCTTCTTAGGATACAGACCAGGGTTCGAACTTTCACGGCTTTTTTGTTGTGCTTTTTGGACGAGAAAATTTTTTGAGAAAAAATTGATAGGGGTCCGGTGCCATCTGCCAAAAATCCCTTTGAAGTACATTCTTTTTAAAAATGCAATCTTCACAAAACCCTGCTTTACTTCCAGACTTCCGCGTTCCTTGAAAATAAATATAGGGTAGGGTGCAGTCAGATTAAATTCTCGCTTCAGAGACCGCTTAAATATGGCTATTTGCGATCAGATAATTGTGAGGTGGGAAATACGGTTCTCGGACGTATCGCAAAATGGGCAAAATGAGGAGGGGCCTGGGGTCTATTTGCGCTCCTCTCGGCCACCGGCGGCGGCTAATCGAAATTTGCGTGGCTCATCTGGGCGGCAGATCTGCACATCATTGCGCTCCGTCAGTGGTCCCGAGTCTAATGGAGAACAAAATTTGGCAAATAGCTGGCCAAAAGTTGGGAAAATTTACGCGCATTTATTGAAACATTTTTTTGCCAGTCGTTCCAAAGGGCCCTATAACGCAAAATGAACCATTTAGCTATCAAAACATTACAAAATGACATAAATTATCGACAAAATTTTCAAAAATGTAGGAAAAATTGCGAAAAAGGTATAAATTCCGTTAAAAAAAATCCCGGGAAGCACCCGCGACAAAATGTAGCGTAAGTCGCCAGGACCAAATGTTCCATTGAAAGATGGATTACCTATTGCCAGGCCCGTAGCGGAGGCGGAACTTCGGGGGGGCAAGCAATTGTTACGAGCAAATTTGTCGGAAAACACCACAGAAAAGGCGCAGCCGGCGAAACATTTTTATAGACAATTGATGAACTAATGAGAAACCAGCGCCGCAGCCGGAAAATTTTGGAAAAATAGGCTTCATAGAAGTAAAAAATGCCTTTAAAACAGCAATAAACAGCGCCGCAGACAGAAACATTTTACCCTATCTAAATCTTACCCTAGTTGTACTCTAAATTGGTTAAAATCATGCGAAATCAAGCAAGTTTTTGAGTTATAAAGCGTTACAAATGAAGCATTATAAAGTAATTAAAGTAGTAGTGTGTAGTGTGTGGAGTAGTAAGTAAAGTAGTGTATGAATGTAATTGGAAGGCAGCACAAGACCGTTCCAGGACCGAGATGAACTGTAACACCTACTGCAACTTTTTTTTGCAAGATAAACCTTCGCATGCCGTTGTTCGACATTTTCATCGCAGCCGCAAACGGACTCCGGACAGACGCTGAACTTTATAATGCTTCGTTTATAACGCTTTATAACTCAAAAACTTGCTTGATTTCGTATGATTTCGTTGTTCAGCATCTTAGAAACCGAAAAAAAGGCGATAGAAATCTTTAGACATGTATTATTGCTAGCCATGTACAAGCTGCAAAAAAGAAATAAGCCTTAGACCCCTACAAATTTCGTCGCCGATTACAACTTTCCCGGGTGGTGATAGTCGAACGAGCCGAAGTAGCGGGTGCCCTGTTTTGCGTGAGCGTGAAAACGTTTTGGCCGGAAGGTTGCTGGTGGCATGGCTCTAAAATGATCCGAAAAGCTTGCTATTGATGCTCGATGGCATTGATTTTCACATTTTTTGGATGAGAACAAGTGGCGACTTGCCGGGGGTCTAGATTCCTGCCCAAATCTTCAAAGTCGTCGGCAAATTAAACGATAGACCTGGGATATCTTTTTTTTTACATTTTTTCACCAATTGACGATGACTATGCCCGTGGCGGCACGGTTCGATAGTGAAAACCTTGACGCCTCCTCCGCCAGTGGGAGGGCGCGACCATGGTCGGCAATTTCCCCGACTGCTGCGCGCTTCTATTCAGCCACTGGTGGAAACTGTGGAATTTGTTCTAGATTGTTGTCCTATAATTTGTTGATTGCGTAGTAAATAAAGTCTCTGCTACTCTATCTCAGTAAAATCTTAGTAATTTTCCGTCTATTGACCTGTTTAAAGAAATTGCGTGATCTTTTCATCCATCCTGTAGGTTCTCTGCCCTGCGCCGAGCGCCCAATAGTCTTACGGGGGCGCATCACGAATAATTCCTCCCTTGCCCGGCGGTTGGGCCCGAAAAAAACAGCGTGGCATCCTTATTCCAGCGATTTCCTTCAATTTAGGTGATCAGCCACCGGCCCCGGTTGTGTATTTTACCCTTTTCTTTCTTTGTTTAAACCTCACGCAGAACTCAATTGTCGATGACTATGCCCGTGGCGGCACGGTTCGATAGTGAAAACCTTGACGCCTCCTCCGCCAGTGGGAGGGCGCGACCATGGTCGGCAATTTCCCCGACTGCTGCGCGCTTCTATTCAGCCACTGGTGGAAACTGTGGAATTTGTTCTAGATTGTTGTCCTATAATTTGTTGATTGCGTAGTAAATAAAGTCTCTGCTACTCTATCTCAGTAAAATTTTAGTAATTTTCCGTCTATTGACCTGTTTATAATTGCGTGATCTTTTCAGCCATCCTGTGTAGGTTCTCTGCCCTGCGCCGAGCGCCCAATAGTCTTACGGGGGCGCATCACGAATTCCTCCCTTGCCCGGCGGTTGGGCCCGAAAAAAACAGCGTGGCATCCTTATTCCAGCGATTTCCTTCAATTTAAGTGATCAGCCACCGGCCCCGGTTGTGTATTTTACCCTTTTCTTTTTTTGTTTAAACCTCACGCAGAACTCAACTCAATTGTGCTCAATTGTTTTCATCATACAACCGTCATTTAGATGTTAATTCTCATCTTCCACCATGATGAGACGGCGACCATCCAAACGCTCCAGATCAAACTGCTTGGGCAATGTGAAGACGCAGATATCATCAAAGTAAATATCTCTCGTTGTCTTCCTTTTAGCTCTTCCATTCCACCGCTTCGCTTTATTTGATTTAAAGTAGGAGAGTAAGAGAAAGTTTAAGTAGATTTATGGGTCTCAGTTCATCCACTTGCTTAACTTTTACCTAAATTTTTCTCATATGTGCTGGTGCTAGTGGCCGGTACCTTAGCTAGACAATAGACAGAATTCGAAAATCCCCTGTCACATTTTCCAGGATCTTCCAGCACAATTTGCGGGTCACCATTTGACGTCTCATGGCGCGGAAATTTGCCGGGTATTTTCTTTGTGTTGGCTCTAAATTCTCTTAGAAAGCCGGCCTCCGTGTCACAAGCTGCTCCTGCAATGCAATCGCCCCGGTCAACCACTCTAAATCTGTCCTTCTTTTGCAAGACGCTGCGATTGGAGATCAACGGGCTCCCTCGATGGTTCCTGATGACGTTCGTTATTTTATTATAACTGATCTCAGTAATGAGCGAGTACCAAATAAAGTATCCATTTCAGACTGATGAGATGAAGGCATTCTGGAAGATCCACAAATTGAAGAGCAACGTCGAAACGAATGTTGACGAGCTTGACGATTCAAGCGCCGGAAATAGAGAACATCCAGTACGTTTTTTTTTGGATAAACGCTCTTAGTAAGGCTCTTAGAAGGAGTGTTGACTTGGCAACCAGCGCAAATTCACCATATAACGCTTCGATTTCAGTTCCTGCAGATGGTCAAGAACCAAGGCACTGGGCTCGCCCTTTCGAAAATTTCTGAAGCCTCATCGATTCGAGATGATCGGGCTCCCTCGATGGTTCCTGATGACGTTCGTTATTTTATTATAACTGATCTCAGTAATGAGCGAGTACCAAATAAAGTATCCATTTCAGACTGATGAGATGAAGGCATTCTGGAAGATCCACAAATTGAAGAGCAACGTCGAAACGAATGTTGACGAGCTTGAAGATTCAAGCGCCGGAAATAGAGAACATCCAGTACGTTTTTTTTGGATAAACGCTGTTAGTAAGGCTCTTAGAAGGAGTGTTGACTTGGCAACCAGCGCAAATTCACCATATAACGCTTCGATTTCAGTTCCTGCAGATGGTCAAGAACCAAGGCACTGGGCTCGCCCTTTCGACAATTTCTGAAGCCTCATCGATTCGAGATGATCGGGCTCCCTCGATGGTTCCTGATGACGTTCGTTATTTTATTATAACTGATCTCAGTAATGAGCGAGTACCAAATAAAGTATCCATTTCAGACTGATGAGATGAAGGCATTCTGGAAGATCCACAATTTGAAGAGCAACGTCGAAACGAATGTTGACGAGCTTGACGATTCAAGCGCCGGAAATAGAGAACATCCAGTACGTTTTTTTTGGATAAACGCTCTTAGTAAGGCTCTTAGAAGGAGTGTTGACTTGGCAACCAGCGCAAATTCACCATATAACGCTTCGATTTCAGTTCCTGCAGATGGTCAAGAACCAAGGCACTGGGCTCGCCCTTTCGACAATTTCTGAAGCCTCATCGATTCGAGATGATCGGGCTCCCTCGATGGTTCCTGATGACGTTCGTTATTTTATTATAACTGATCTCAGTAATGAGCGAGTACCAAATAAAGTATCCATTTCAGACTGATGAGATGAAGGCATTCTGGAAGATCCACAATTTGAAGAGCAACGTCGAAACGAATGTTGACGAGCTTGAAGATTCAAGCGCCGGAAATAGAGAACATCCAGTACGTTTTTTTTGGATAAACGCTCTTAGTAAGGCTCTTAGAAGGAGTGTTGACTTGGCAACCAGCGCAAATTCACCATATAACGCTTCGATTTCAGTTCCTGCAGATGGTCAAGAACCAAGGCACTGGGCTCGCCCTTTCGACAATTTCTGAAGCCTCATCGATTCGAGATGATCGGGCTCCCTCGATGGTTCCTGATGACGTTCGTTATTTTATTATAACTGATCTCAGTAATGAGCGAGTACCAAATAAAGTATCCATTTCAGACTGATGAGATGAAGGCATTCTGGAAGATCCACAAATTGAAGAGCAACGTCGAAACGAATGTTGACGAGCTTGACGATTCAAGCGCCGGAAATAGAGAACATCCAGTACGTTTTTTTTGGATAAACGCTCTTAGTAAGGCTCTTAGAAGGAGTGTTGACTTGGCAACCAGCGCAAATTCACCATATAACGCTTCGATTTCAGTTCCTGCAGATGGTCAAGAACCAAGGCACTGGGCTCGCCCTTTCGACAATTTCTGAAGCCTCATCGATTCGAGATGATCGGGCTCCCTCGATGGTTCCTGATGACGTTCGTTATTTTATTATAACTGATCTCAGTAATGAGCGAGTACCAAATAAAGTATCCATTTCAGACTGATGAGATGAAGGCATTCTGGAAGATCCACAATTTGAAGAGCAACGTCGAAACGAATGTTGACGAGCTTGAAGATTCAAGCACCGGAAATAGAGAACATCCAGTACGTTTTTTTTGGATAAACGCTCTTAGTAAGGCTCTTAGAAGGAGTGTTGACTTGGCAACCAGCGCAAATTCACCATATAACGCTTCGATTTCAGTTCCTGCAGATGGTCAAGAACCAAGGCACTGGGCTCGCCCTTTCGACAATTTCTGAAGCCTCATCGATTCGAGATGATCGGGCTCCCTCGATGGTTCCTGATGACGTTCGTTATTTTATTATAACTGATCTCAGTAATGAGCGAGTACCAAATAAAGTATCCATTTCAGACTGATGAGATGAAGGCATTCTGGAAGATCCACAAATTGAAGAGCAACGTCGAAACGAATGTTGACGAGCTTGACGATTCAAGCGCCGGAAATAGAGAACATCCAGTACGTTTTTTTTGGATAAACGCTCTTAGTAAGGCTCTTAGAAGGAGTGTTGACTTGGCAACCAGCGCAAATTCACCATATAACGCTTCGATTTCAGTTCCTGCAGATGGTCAAGAACCAAGGCACTGGGCTCGCCCTTTCGACAATTTCTGAAGCCTCATCGATTCGAGATGATCGGGCTCCCTCGATGGTTCCTGATGACGTTCGTTATTTTATTATAACTGATCTCAGTAATGAGCGAGTACCAAATAAAGTATCCATTTCAGACTGATGAGATGAAGGCATTCTGGAAGATACACAAATTGAAGAGCAACGTCGAAACGAATGTTGACGAGCTTGACGATTCAAGCGCCGGAAATAGAGAACATCCAGTACGTTTTTTTTGGATAAACGCTCTTAGTAAGGCTCTTAGAAGGAGTGTTGACTTGGCAACCAGCGCAAATTCACCATATAACGCTTCGATTTCAGTTCCTGCAGATGGTCAAGAACCAAGGCACTGGGCTCGCCCTTTCGACAATTTCTGAAGCCTCATCGATTCGAGATGATCGGGCTCCCTCGATGGTTCCTGATGACGTTCGTTATTTTATTATAACTGATCTCAGTAATGAGCGAGTACCAAATAAAGTATCCATTTCAGACTGATGAGATGAAGGCATTCTGGAAGATCCACAAATTGAAGAGCAACGTCGAAACGAATGTTGACGAGCTTGACGATTCAAGCGCCGGAAATAGAGAACATCCAGTACGTTTTTTTGGATAAACGCTCTTAGTAAGGCTCTTAGAAGGAGTGTTGACTTGGCAACCAGCGCAAATTCACCATATAACGCTTCGATTTCAGTTCCTGCAGATGGTCAAGAACCAAGGCACTGGGCTCGCCCTTTCGACAATTTCTGAAGCCTCATCGATTCGAGATGATCGGGCTCCCTCGATGGTTCCTGATGACGTTCGTTATTTTATTATAACTGATCTCAGTAATGAGCGAGTACCAAATAAAGTATCCATTTCAGACTGATGAGATGAAGGCATTCTGGAAGATCCACAAATTGAAGAGCAACGTCGAAACGAATGTTGACGAGCTTGACGATTCAAGCGCCGGAAATAGAGAACATCCAGTACGTTTTTTTGGATAAACGCTCTTAGTAAGGCTCTTAGAAGGAGTGTTGACTTGGCAACCAGCGCAAATTCACCATATAACGCTTCGATTTCAGTTCCTGCAGATGGTCAAGAACCAAGGCACTGGGCTCGCCCTTTCGACAATTTCTGAAGCCTCATCGATTCGAGATGATCGGGCTCCCTCGATGGTTCCTGATGACGTTCGTTATTTTATTATAACTGATCTCAGTAATGAGCGAGTACCCAATAAAGTATCCATTTCAGACTGATGAGATGAAGGCATTCTGGAAGATCCACAATTTGAAGAGCAACGTCGCAACGAATGTTGACGAGCTTGACGATTCAAGCGCCGGAAATAGAGAACATCCAGTACGTTTTTTTTGGATAAACGCTCTTAGTAAGGCTTGATAGATTAAAAGAGTTTTGGTGACAGAGGTGATGCCTTTTTTCTTCCAAGATTCCTTGGCTCTAATCAACCGCCTTACCGGGTTACAGGCGCGTAGAAGGGGAAGGGAGAAGGGGGGCAGGCTGCCCCCCGAAATCCGGCGGGCCCGAAAAAAACATAAGGGTCCCCCCTTATGATTTTTTTCAACTTGAAAATTTTTTCGGCTGCGGCGCTGTTTTTCTTACTTTTTCTTCATTTTTTAGCCTGCGGCGCTGCTATTTTAGCGAAATTTTTCGCCTGCGGCGCTCAAATTGCGAAAATTTTCTCTTGCTGCCCCCCCCGAAATGTCACTGCCCCCCGAAACTTGGGGTCAGCTACGCCCCTGCCGGGTTATATAAGAGGAAATGCGGTATATGCTCCCGCAAAAGAAAGACATATTTGGAATCAGAGAAACGAACTGACAGTCTTGGCTTGACTTTACAACCTTCCCTGGTGATCCATAGCCTAGCTCGGGTTCCTGAATCTTATCACCATCCATTTTCAGGGCATGCCACGTTGAAGCCGCCCACCTCGTTAAATCGAGTCAAATACGCTGGTTTAATTATGCAAGTGGTTTTTATGTGAATTGTCCCCCAGCTTCTGATTTATTTATTTGTTTACTGATTTCTGTTTGTCCCCCGGTACCATACGGGCTTACTACCCAGTCCTCTACCAATTTGGGCAAAAACCGGCGGGCGCTGGTCCCAAAAACGGGTCTAGGCGCTGGTCTACGGGCTAGTAATATCGCATTTTGCCTTACGTATGTTCGATGTGTTCTCTGTATGGTGAAATAAATATTTTTAATAAATTTTGTGTTGCATGTTATACCGTGGAGCAGTCTAATAAACTAAAGAGGATGATGGCGAAAACCGAGCGGAGAAAGTACATGGACGACAATTCCCTAGAATTGATTCAGCTAAACTTCCTATATATTCCTACAGGCCTATATATTCCTTCCGCGTCAACGTCAGCTGCTGATTCATTCCAAATTTTATTCGACGCTTCCGACGGATGTACGCTGCTGCCGATGACGTTCGCACTACAATTCTGGAATAAAGACGGTGGAATACTAAAAATCTTACATAATCCCCGCCCAAATTTCTCAATTCTGCACCTGGAATTATTTTAATCTCAAACTTCAACTGAAAAAGCGGCAAAAATTTAGAAATCGTCTGGGACTACTGCTAATAAATCCAGAAAAAAATTTGAAGCCGTTTGGAGTATCGTTTCGGAAATCCCTAACCCCGAAAATCAGTTAAATCCCGTACTCGGCGCTCTTCTGGGCGATCGCCCCGAAAATCGTCCTCCAAATGTACATGGTACCGTACACCTTAGGTAAAAAATCTAAGCGATCCGATTCGTTTAAAAGTACCCTCCGGGACCAGCGACTGTTTACCTTAAAAATCATTGACTTTGGGCATTGGGCATGTTTTGGTCCCCGTTGACCCCCTTAACCTCAACCGATCAGGACCAAATTTGTCCTTCATATACTACAGCGGACGTTTTGGTTTTTCCTGCCTAAGTCTCACATTTCGGATTTTCGTCGCCTGTCCTCTCTCATCCATAGAAAGCTTTTATTTATCTTTATTTTGATATATAAATCATCAAATCAATCGGTCATCAAATCATCAAATCAAATTCGGTCCCGTCTACGCGGAGCTTGGGACCGGCGACACTTTGGGCGGGGTCCCTTTTCACACTTAAGGGTTTGGCACCTAAAAATTCATAACTTTTCCGTAATAGTTCCGATAATTTTGAAAATTGCACAGCATAATGGTCAAGGCATATTAGACAATGTGTAAAAATATCTAAGCGGTTGGAGCGATTGAAAGTACCCTTAGGGACCGCCGATACTTTGGGCATAACCCATTTGGCTCCTTTCACCTTCAGGTTTCAGATCTTTCAGGGTCTTGAAGAGTGGCTTACAGAGCTCGGAACGTTTAGAAACTTTTACACATTGTATACAATAGCCTGCTAATCATGCTTAATAAATTTGGTGACGATAAAGCCAAGGACCGCAGCGATATGAATTTTGAGGTGCTAAACCCTTGATAAAGGGGTGAAAGGTAAGCATTCGCTGGTCCCGGAGGGTGCTTTAAACGAATCGGTTCACTTAGATTTTTTTACTTAAGGTGTACGGTACCATGTACATTATGGAGGACGATTTTCGGGGCGATCGAGGCAGAAACTGAAAAGTTATGATTTTTTTAGGTTCTTGTCAAAGTGGTAATTTTACAAAAAAAACCATTTAAACAAAAACTAAGAATTTTTGGCGGTTTTCCTTCGAAGCCCTGATAAGAATATACTCGGCAAACCCTATACTCAAAGCGCGCGGCAAGAGCCCCATTGCTTTGCGAGAAAAGCCGAAAGCTTTGGGTGAACCCAAAATTATGTCCAGCAGTGTATATATATTATTTTGTGTGGGTATGATGTTTTTGGCTCCCGAGAAGGTGTCATTTCCTGTGACTTCCCATTACCAGGGGGTGGCAAACTAGTTCACTACCCCTAGTGAACATGTCCATTTATAATCCCATGTCAGGTCCGTTGCCTGTGAACTCTTATGACTAGGAAAACCATACGATCAAATCATTTCGGCCCAAGAACTTTAAAAAGGATCAAAGATATTGTGGGAATAAACAATTCGAATTTTTAATAGTTTGGTCGCTTCTAAGAGTTCCGCTAGCATGACCAATTCTCCCGAATTCTCACCAAACCATTTTGCAAAATAGTCGGAAAATTATAAAAACCTTTGAGAAACTATGAAAGTGTCAAAATCCAATTTTTTAAAAGTTTGGTTTCTTCAAAATAAATCGCAAAAAAAGTCAACGAAGCGTTCTTATACCATTGGCCATGACCACACCTTTTATGAAAAGTGACGTACTTTTCTCATGAACTCATATTCAATGAATTTGAATGAAAATTTCGACGGGGTGGTAAAAGAGTTTACTTCCAAAAGGAGTAGAGTAAAAAAAGCTTACTGGGGTAGTAAACGATTCGCGATAGGATTTGACGCGGCACCCAATACTTTTCCTCATTTTTTTGGTCGAAATAGATGCCGAGTAGCTGAACTAGGCCGTGATGTCAAAAAATGTTAGTAGAATTGAGTGTTTTTAAAGTTATACCCTAACTTAAAAAAGTGGTTACTACCCCTAGTAACCAAAAAGTGGCACACTACCCCTAGTAAAAAATCTTTTACTACTAGTAACTTTGTTCACTGGGGCAGTGAAAAAGTTTACTGGGGTAGTAAATTTTTTATTCGGTGGTCTTAACCTTTCTAACGCCTTGTTGGAGCAATTTTTAAGCATTTCTTGAGCGTTTTTTTACTGAATCGCTAGCTTGAAAGCCCAACTATCGGTTTTGAGTGATTCCCGCATCTTTTAACACCCTTTTAGACGCCTTGGGCCCAGTTGAAGAAGTCGCCATAAATTAGCTCTTTGCCCTGTTACTACCCCTGGTAAACTCGTTTACTAGGCCGTTTACCGGGGTAGTGAAAAGTTTACTAGGGGTAGTAAGAGTTTACTAGGGGGTAGTAAGCGTTATGGTACCGGCCCTGAGAATTTATGATTACCGGTTCTGGTAGCGAATAAAGTGGCAAATTTATCGGAATCAGTTAGCAGAAGAACACCGTTATTTACAGCAAATTCAGAAAAAGCCGTTTATTTTTCGATGTTTTATATATATATTTCTTGCGGAAACGCCATAACACTCATCGTTGCATGGACGTCGCGACAGATCGAAACTTTCTTCTCTTTTTGATGCAGCCGCAACATCAATGCCACAGCTAAATTTGCACATAACTCAGGGGGAGCTGGATTCCCATGCACAAACGATTGCGCCAGAGGATGCCAGGCGGATGACCCGGCTTTGGGTCCAAGACTTCGATATAAATGGTGCTTTGTGCGCCTTTCTGTGATGGCTTCAGCTTGGCTTCTAGGTGCGCTTTCGTGACTTCAGTTTTTAAAGTTGCTAATTTTGTATCTTGAGACGACATTTTTGTTGCATTTTGAGCAAACAGTCCGCTGTATACCAGGCTTGGGGCTTCCGAGCGCCACAACGTCATCCGACGCAGAACAGTTTGACTCGTTTTTCCACGTTATTTTGAAGCTGCGCCGAGGAAACCCGATGTCCGAAAATGCAAAAAAACCGTTTTAGTGCGCGCGATTCCTCCATTCCTACGCGAAATTGTTACGTTTTAAGCATCCTATGCTGGGATGGTGCTTTGTCGGAAAACCTTTAGTCCTTGGGAATTCTTCGTGCTTGAAGGCGACTGAACGACAAAGGGACCTACCGATTGTTTGATGAGGCCGGTAAAAAAAGCACGTGCCAATCTCTTGCCCGAACTCCTGAAAACACCTTTATCTACGGGTTTGATTTTCCGACCACTTGCAACAACGCCGGGTTGGCAAGCGATACTCAAAACTCAGGGCTGGAAATTAGGATCGAGTGGACCGATTTGACCGGTACTACAAAATCTATTAAAAAACCAAAGCTTCTAAAAATGTACAGGCTTTTTGCGCTGTACCTCTTTGTTTCCGACTATCAAGCCTTAAGCTGAAGCTCTCTAGATATTGGGGTAGGCGAAATAAGTAGACGTGAAGCTTCTAATTCACCTCGGAGACGTGTCGATCGAAAACGCACTGAAGGTAGAGAGAGCCTGCAGAATTAGCGCTCAACGGCCTCAAGCCAGTTTGCACCAACATATCCTTAAAAAGAATTGTGATTAGCTATAAAAACTGGCTTTCCTAGGTTATGGTTTATGATCGATCGGTGAAATCCGTCTCGACTAGACCGATCTTATAGCGTTTACAGCTGTTTACAGCACACGCGGAGTTAGGATAGCTGATGCTGATGCATAGCTGATATTTGATGCTGAGGAGAGATTGGCGGGTACCTTCCATATATATTAGCGTACAAGGAGAAGGTAACCCGAGAAGCCGCAACGCCGGAGATCTACTATATTAGAGGAAACCCGGGTTGCAAAGCCGCTACGCGGCCTTTCACCCCTGGCCTTTGCGCGGGGACTTCTCAAGTTTGGGCACTTTGCATACCTCAAGCGAATTTTGTCCGCACCAAAAATAGCAAGATCAGCCGGACGCCAGCGCCACCAAATCCTATCCTACCTTATATAATTTGGTCGCGTATGTTTGTGTCTGTGTGTGTGTGCGGAGGTCAGTTTCGAGGCCAGATTTGAAGCCTTTCCCGTGTCCAAAATGCCCCAATTCTTCGTCACTTGGGGGAATCGACCCTTCTGTGTCCGATGACGTTCTCAGAATTTCGATAAAATACAAGTTTACAAAGTTAAAGCCGGGGCCTAGACGGGGTCCAGCGGGGGAGAGTCGCGAAGCGGCTCCTCCGCCGCTGGTCCGATATGAGACTCCTAGCGCCTCGTATGCGAATGAGGATATTTCCATATGTTTTAAAAACACTAAAATAAGGTAAAAATCGTCATTTTCTTGAAAAGCTGATAAGCGCGCAGTAATCTACGCCCTAGAATACCCCTAAATACGTTTCAACCGGCCCCTAGAACCCTTTCCCCGTCCTGATATCTCAATAACCCGGTTTTTTGGAGCCGTTTACGCAAAGTGTCTACACACACAAACACTATTTTTTATACAGGGTGTCTCAAAAAAACCCCCCCTCGGCATTTGGCCGTCTTCCATCCAATCGGGACCAAATTTTTACCAGTGATGGGGACCCATAAAAACTATGTGCAGCCGAATTTTCTAAGCAAAATATTGTAAAACCAAAAAGTTATCGCTTAAAAACTGATTTTTGGAAAACGCTGGTACTCGTTTTTGGCTATGTTTTCGCAATTAGCATGCGGATTTTGAGTAATTTTCCAAAAAATGGTCATTTCTCGGTCAGTTTCTGGCAATTTCGATAATAAAAAGTGATCAAAAGGCACAATTTAAACGTAATTTTCGTAAATCAAAAAATTTCTACAGGTAGAAAAGAGTGCCTCTTCATTTTTGCTAAACATTCGAGGCCGAAATCCGTCAAAATCCTGGTGAAATCGGCAAAATAAACATTAATTTTGATATATCTTTTTTGTTTTACAATATTTTGCTTAGAAAATTCGGCTGCACATAGTTTTTATGGGTCCCCATCACTGGTAAAAATTTGGTCCCGATTGGATGGAAGACGGCCAAATGCCGAGGGGGGGTTTTTTTTTGGGACACCCTGTATATTAGAAGAGATATGGTGTAAGGTGTTTATCTGGATATATTTGGTGCGAAACTGAATGTAGAACCCCATCAGCAGGGCCTTGAGCAGCGAAAGTTGAAGTTTAGTTTTTGAATTGCCGTTGCCTGGGACCCTCCCCTGTTAGTATGATCAAAACTTCTCTCGACTCGTTCTCCTCCCAGTTCCGTTTTCTCGCACATATAGACGATTCCCATAGAAGATCTTAAATCTCAAAACACGCCAGTCACTACTACTTAGCCTTAAAATAGCTCCCGATGAAGCCAGAAGCTTCAGAATTTAGAAAAAAGAAAATATTTCCGTCGAAAAGCCCATTTTTGGAGAGATTTTTTCTGTATTCTGGTTGCCCTCCCTTTTTGCACGCAACTGTACATTGTGCTGTGCGGTAGGGCACTGGGATTCGAGACAAATAACGAACCCAGACGAATTTTGCCGGGTTCGCTGGCACGGGCCGAAAATCACCAAAATGGGTGTAGAGACGGCCGGGCGGTAGGCTGGGAGATCTGGGCAGCAAGTCCTGGAAATCACAGACATTCGATGATGTGTTTACCCGTGAGCCTTGCAATTACGCCCCTGGCGTGGCGCATTACAAGGCCGTCCGCCAGTCCCTCGAACAGCCCCCATTATAGCTGGGCACACTTATTCCGACCCCTACTTTTTTTGATGCCATCTGATAGAGCTTTGTCGAATTAGACAGGTCAGTGCATCCACCCGAAATCCACTCGGAATCCCGGAGGGGGTCGAGGGGAATTCCACTAGCGGACGCGAGTGGCTTCACCTGGAAATCGAGTGGATTCCGGGTGGAACGCATGGAAATCAAGTGGAAACTAAGTGGATCCACTCGGTTTCCACTCGATTTCCAATAGCCGCGTCGCGTCGCGTCTCCACTCCATTTCCACTGCGTCCACCCGATTTCCAGCCAATTTCCATGCGTTCTACCCGAATTCCAGGTGGAATCCACACGGAATTTGGGTGGATGCACGGACCTGTGTAGAGGAATCGCGGTAATTTGGGATTTTTAAATTAACTTTGTCCTAATTGATTACCCTATATCGGGGGGTGCGACCATTACTTCGAAAATCATCTACTACAGGGTGTCCAAACCCCCCCCCCCCTCGGCGTGGCTGTCTTCCATCCTCGGTACCAAATTTTTACCAGTGATCAGGCCCGTAAGAGGGGGGCAAGGGGGGCGAGCCGCCCCCCGAAATCGGCCGAAGGCCGAAAAGTTCATAAGGGGGGCCCCTTATGATTTCATTTTTCCAAAAATTTTTTTGCCTGCGGCGCTGTTTTTGGCTATTTTTAACACTAGTTTTAGGGTTATAAACTCTATGTTTTCAAAAATTTTGCCTGCGGCGCTGTATTTTAGTCTTATTAGTGAAAAATTTTTGGGGTCGCCCCCCCCCCGAAATTTGGGTTTGTTACGGCCCTGCCTGTTTGTTACGGCTCGGCCCTGACAACCTCTACATGTTAGAATTTTAGAAGTAATGACTTTTAGAAGTAATGGTTTTAGAAGGAATGACTTTTAGAAGTAATGGTTTTTAGCAGGGCTGACAACGGGCCGCCCCCCCTAGCGGCCGCCAATTTTAACGGATCGAGATGATTTTTAGACCAATTTCCCAAAGAAGGAATGACTTTTGGAAGTAAAGATTTTAGAAGTAATCATTTTAGAAGTAATGGTGGGTAGCCATATATCGGCATTCAGCATCTTATACAGTAGCGGTCAAAAAGATGTCCCCCTCGGGAGATCGCTTGGTGCTCGTAAACCACAGGCCCAAATTTTATGAAACGTCGTGTCTAGGTCAATTCGGCTGCGCAGAATCCAATGGCAACATTGAAATCTACTGAAAATTTGATTTTAATGGTCAAACTTCGATTTCAAAAAAACCTGTAAAAATAAACTTTTTCATGAGGGATTTTCGGGTTTCGAAAATGTGTCCATCGTGTTCGCAAGGGTCGAAAACCGCTAGTTCGTTATTTTATGACACTTTTTCTGCCAGGGCCTGACCATACTGGCGGCCGAAAGTTGCTGTCGCGCGGGCCAAAATACTTTGGATAGGCTTACGGGGGCCAGGAAAGCGCCCCGCGGCGACAACTTCTCGGCATCATAGTAGCGAACCTCAAAGAGATAAATGTTTTGAAACATGTTCGAGATAGGTTTTCGACCCTTGCGAACACGATGGGCACATTTTTGAAACTCGAAAATCCCTCAGGAAGAAGTTCATTTTATCGATTTCTTTAAAAATTAAAGTTTGATCACTAAAATAAAATTTTCAGCCGATTTCAAGTTCACCATCGGATTCTCCGTATCAAAATTGATCTAGACACGACGTTTCATAAAATTTGGGCCTGTGGTTTACGAGCACCAAAGGATTTCCCGAGGGGACATCTTTTTGACCGCTACTGTATCGGCTCGTCAAGCCCCCAAGCATCAATACCCCAAATCTTTGCTACCTGTATTGCTGCAAAAGCCTCATCATAATCAAGGTTTTGCCAAATGAGCGCCCGGCTCGGCCAATGCTCAAAATGGTCTTGGCAATATTGATGTCTTGCTGCCTGAAAATAATAGTGTGTGTTGGCTTGCTCGAGCCAATCATGGACGGCGCATGTGCAAGTAACGTCTGGAAATTTAGTGCATTCTGACTGCACCTCGATGAAGGTTTGCACAACTTAGTGCCAAAAATGACATACCAAAGGCTGGCGAAGGTAGACGAAAGCGGCCTGAAAACCAGGAATTACGCGATTGAAGGAAAAAGTGGTTTATGAAACACTTTGAAGCCGCGCAACCCGAACATTTGTTAGATTGCGCCAAAAGCAGGGCAGCCATTTGATGTGACTTGGAAAGATTTGGAAGGATTAGTTGGAAGGTTCGGTGGTTAAATCGTTTCACGGCCATTGGAAAGATCTTGTCCGCAGTGGTGACGCCGTGTTTTTGCGCCCTCGGGGAGTTATGGGTTCCTCCCCGGCCTAGCACAATCGTCCTGGAGACGAATAGCCGGGGTGTGCCACGTTAGTTGCGCCTTAACCATTTGCGCACCGATTTTTGCGCCCCGAGCTCCCCGTAACGTGCGGGGCGCAAATTACTGCGAGCCGTCCAAGGGGCCATTGGACCTATTAACCCGGCCGCTTCGCCGGCCTTGGCGCCCCCATTTCGAAACCCTGTACAAGCTCGCACCCATCCGAAGCGACTAGGCTCCCGGTGGCACGAAGCCTTATTTTTAGGCGCAAACTGGGTGTAATTAAAAATGCGAAACAAGGCACAAACTGTCGCGAATCCGCGTCTCCGCGAAATCGGCGCAAATGCTGTATTTTCCAGAGTTGCCGGAATCGGGGTCCTTAAAAATCGTGTCTGTTTTAAGGACCCCTGTCGGGACAGGGATCCAAATTCTAAGGACCCTTATTTTTATTAAGGACCCTTATTTTTATTTTGAATTTTTCGGAAAAATTTCCCCCCCGAAATTTTTTTCTGGCGACGCCCCCGGGTCCGGGTTAGGTTTAGCGACGTTTAGCACCTACCGTAACCTTGCATGCTAAAGTGTTTGACCATTTCAACATCTTGAAATTATCAACGAGGGCAGAATGTCCCTCTAAAAGGTTAACTGTGAAATCGTCGATCGATTTAATTCGAAAAAACTGTGAGCCACCCGAAGGCTTGGCACAGTTTTTTCGACGGCATTTAGGAGAAATAACTACATCCGCATGAACCCCCATGCGGATTCAGGCGCTCATTTGAGCGGTGAGCGAACAAATTTTTGAATGTCATATTTTGGAAAAGTCAGATTTTCGAAAGCCATATCGGAATTTGAAAAATTTGCGTTGCGATGTCACCCCATTTCCTATTGATAGCTCGAGGCAAATTTTTAAATGTGACTTTTCGAAAATATGTACGCAAATCGTTTGAGCCTATTACCCTGGGCGCCGCCATGGCGACCTGTTCCGCCGCCGTATATGCCGCGAATGGCTTATTTTCAAAATGTCGAAATTCATAATGTCGAAACTCATAATGTCGAAATTCACAATGTCGAAATTTCATAATGTCGAAATTTCATAATGTCGAAATTTCATAATGTCGAAATTTCATAATGTCGAAATTTCATAATGTCGAAATTTCATAATGTCGAAATGTCAGAATGTCGAAATTTACCTAAGCTAAAAATTTCCCTTAATACTAATACTTAATACTTAATTTCCCCGAATTCTAGGCAAAAAAATGTTGTCGTGAAAGAAGATAAAAAAAAAAGAATTGTGAATAATTTTTTTGGCTAGGATTTGGCGGTTTCACCGGTAATATTAGACTATGTAAATTTCGACATTCTGAATTTCGACCTTATGACATTTCGAAATTATGAAATTTCGACATTATGAAATTTCGACATTATGAAATTTCGACATTATGAAATTCCGACATTGTGAAATTTCGGCATTATGAATTTCGACATTATGAATTTCGACATTATGAGTTTCGACATTATGAATTTCGACATTATGATACCAATTCGCCGCGAATCCTTATTCTTCGCATTAAAATGGAATTTGCTCGATCGATACGGTCATTTAGCACAATTTGAAAACGGGGTTTTTGCCCAGGCTTTTTCGCTATCAATTAGACTAGGCCGCATTCAAGCATTCAAATCACACCCCAGAACAACTCCTACTTAGCAATGTGAAAAATCAACTAACCCCTCGGTTTTGGAATACATCTGGCACACAATTGAATAGCGCCTTTATATGCGGGAAGACGGTTTCCGTTAGCGAATTGCAGCAGCATTTTTCGATCACTCGGAACGCACCGATCACTTGTCCCATCTGAAGTAACGTTTTAAGCCGGACAAAAGCTGGGTTGCCGATAACGACGAGAAGTTGGCAGTCTACTTAAAAGGCCGTTTGCCAGAGACCCGAACAAGCCTTGTCACAGTTGACAAGCCATCATGGCGGCTGTCCGAGTGACCGGCTGATGGCCTTTTAAATTGCGTCCGCCTAACAGATAATTGATAAATATCGCTCATAGTGGTAACCCACCTGTATCGGCTTTGTTTTTGCATACCAGGCCACTACATGCGGTTCTACATCAGAACGTTTCCGCAGCTAAAACTTTCACGATACTTCTTCCAGGAGATTTCCTATCCTACTATATATAAAAAATAGTGTCTGTGTGTGCCACTTTGCATCCACTTCCGTCTGTCTGTCCGGAGGATATCCTGATCGGGGATGAATTTTAAGGTATGTATGATACGTCATTAGGTGCGCAATGGCCTGGATGACTGCACGCATTTTAGATTCAACAAAACCACCTATTTTCGACATTAAATTTAAGTTTTTGTGAAAACTTCTTTGTTAAGAATAATTAGATAGACCGGAAGTTTGGATTCGACTATATAAAGGGGCAGGAGAAGTTGTTTTTCATTTTTTGTCATCCGAACTTAGGACAATTATGCAAAGTGAAGGATAGAATGGGGTCAGACGGGGCCAGGGTTGAAAAGTCGCGAAGCGGTTATGCGTCATTTGTCAATGCAAAAGGTGGATAACGACGGCAAAATTGTTTGCTTGCGGTCTTAGGTTAGAATCGAAAAACAGCAAGTAAAAGGCATCTTATTCTATACAGCTTCCAATTCTTAACAAATCGCATTGAAACTGTCATTAAACAACAATTTAAACTGCTGGGGTTCGAGAAAACTAGCCCAGATCAAGCGGTTTTAGGGGCAATTAGTACAATACGACCGGTACAGCCGGTGCAGCCGGATAGAAATAGTGTGTGTTTCTCTGCGTAGCTGTCCACCTACCATGTAATTCGAAGCGGCTGTACCGGCTGTATTTTATCAATTGCCCTTTTAGGTGGGTTTATGGAAGAAATAGCCGGTTAATCAATCGAATGAGCCAAGCCGTCATCACCGGGAAAGGATGCCGTTTGAGCTACCTAGTGTGTTTAGCCAGTCTTGTTCACTAATTTCTGTTTCGTATGTGTCAACCCACCTTGACTAGCTTGCTGTAGTGCCAATCGTGAAATGGTGACCAGACGTCGGGCTAAAAAGTTTTGTAAAATTTCGCACCATAATGTGTCAGCGCAGGCAGTCGATAGAAGATAGAAGATATTTAGATTTATGGGAGTCGGAATTCCTCTGTTTATGGGTCGAGATAATCGCTTCAAAATCGTGAGCTATTACCAAAAATGCGAGCAACGAAATTTGGCGCCCCGAAAATCCAATGATCTACGGCAACCCGAAGATACTTGCTACTGCTGCTGTTTGGATAATTGTTTTAATAGACGAGAGCGTGCATGAATGCTTCTGCTACTGCTGCTTTGCACGGTATAAGACATTGGTGAATGGATTGTGGGGGGTGCGTCGAGCCTTTTGAGCAAGAAGACCGTGCTGACATCGTGTCCTGACACCTACCGAAACGCCGGTGTCGTGCACGTTGATGGATAGAACTGGAAGGACCCGGATCCGCTGGAGGAGGCGAGCGAACTGCACGAAATACCGGGCTGACTTCATACGGTAGCGTCTAGGAAAGATATGTGTGTCCGATACTCGTCGCTTTTTAACGCGGAACTCATCGCGTTGCTTCTTTCTGGGTCACGTCCCGAAATACCGGCGATTAGGCGGCTGAGCAACAAACACTCCTACCGACGCAAAAATGTATTAGGTTCGAACATAAATTCGTGCAATTCTTCGAACGCAAAATTTTTGGAGAAACTTCCATTAGTTAATTCTAGTTTTTTTTTGCTGCGATGAAGCCAAAAACTATTGTCTTCCTTCAGTCCAAGTAAAAACTCCTAACTCACAAAAATTGTTTTATTATGGCGCCAAGAGTCTGTTTAACTTCGGTTCCGGCTTTTTTTTTTTGGTTCCGTGAAGGATATCTGCTGCCATCACGAAGTATCGCTTGCGAAGTCAGTGCCATTAGATAAAAAGTTCGGACTATACAATGCATGCAGTCAATAGAATTCCAATTGCTTGCTTCTTTATTTTTTCGCAGCTCATTTTCGAAAGATGTCAAAATTGGTTATCGGGCACTGAAATGACAAATCCCGTCGTCGGGCGTTTCTCGGAATCTAGTGGTTAACTTTTTGCAATGATTTTAATCAAATCGGGTTTGGTTGTTACTTCTTTTAGACCGGGGTTTAGATATGCACCAATCGTCCATACCGGGTCACGGAGGCGCCATGATCATCAATTTGCCATACTTTTTGTTTTTATTTTTTCGCTACGAAACACTGATCCTGTCGATGTGAGATTCTGCTTACAGTATCTGTTGCTTATGCCAAATGTCACCATAATAGAAACAAAATCGATCGGGTCGATCATTTGGTTTCCCACCAATTTGCAAAATTTTGTGCCGTGGTCATGCCCGGGTGGGCGGCTGAAGGGGTTTATGTTCACGCGCCCCTTGGGTACAGAAACTGCGGATCCGGCGGCAAATGATAGTCAGATTAATGATTTCAAAATTAAATTCTCTTGAATACCGTACAAAGTTAGCAAATTTGGAAAAAGACGTCTTGCTCGGAATTTTTTTCTCTATCAAACCAGCTAAGTCGCTGCTTGTGGCTTATGTTTCATTTGATTTTGCCACCAATTTCGAGCGGGCCTCGAGTGGCCCGCCAACAGGGGCGTAGCCAGAAAAAAAAATTATGGCGCGGGCCCCGAAAAAATTTGTCAAAATTGACACATTAACGAAAAATCGTGACTCAAATTTTTGGAAACATGGTTTCATGGCATTAAAAATAGTCTTAAAAGCTTAATAAATAGCGCCGCAGGCCTCAAAATATTTCAGAAAGAAAAATCATATCCCTTATGAACCTTATGAACTTTTCGGCCCCCTATTTCGGGGGAGGGAGCCCCCGGTGCCGACATTCCGCTACGTCCCTATCTACATGTGCGCCAACTTTTAATACTTTACAGTTGCGGAAGGAGAAAAACTATGCTTTTGTGGTAATTCAAGAAATCATAATCGAAGGAGTGCGTGAACTCACCTCATCATCATCCGCCTTATCCCCAATCCGAATCTGCCAAAATTCCGCGGGTATCCTTCCTTGCCCGTGTCCCCATCTCTAAAAAAATGTGGGGTTTTCAAAAATTGCGAAAATCGGTTGAAAATGGCTATTTTTCTTTGGAAAATTATGACTTACGGTTTTTGATGCGTATTTATATCCGAAAACCGTAAGCCTATTAAAGAAGAGTCGAAAATGACATACGCTCGATCGACGGTGTGGTAGAGCCTCTTGTGCGGATAACCGGTGCAAATGTTGACGCCACCACGGCTCTCCACCACCACGTATATACCCGACATTTTCAACTGCAAACGGGTCATTCATATTATACAATTTTGACAAAATGTATGGGAAATCGGGAAAAGTTCTAAGAAATGGGCCAAATTTCAAGGGGCCATATCTCGGCCATCCAGTGTCCAATTTTGATGATCTCAGCATTTATTGATATCTACTCCTTGAGATCTATCGATTGGTGTTAAAGGTATCGCATGCAAATGACTCTATGCAGAGATAACTTGCAAAAACACTTTTGCGTGATTTTGTGAAAAACTTCTCGGGCCTGTATCTCGGCGCTCGTTGGTTTTGGCGGTCAGGACCCCTCTTCCCGAAACGATTAAGACCGAGAGCTACAAAATGACATATCGCATGTGCAGAATCGAGCTATCTACGAATTTACCCAGCCTCCCAAAATCTCGGCGACAGAACTTTCGTTCCAACCTGATATATATTTCCCCCTCGCCCCGCTTTGATCGGGTATGACTAATTGGACTGTGCATGAATTTTGTTAAGACCGAGCACTGCCTACCTGATCGGGGCGGTCATGAACATAAAGCCCATGGATTGACAGCTTCCGGATACGACCCGGCAACAGTCCTCGGTCGTTGATGCGTCGGCTGAAAAGGGAGGCAGGTAAGAGCGAACGGGGCCCCCAAGGCCATGCTTTCTTATCAGGTCCTGGAATCCCTCTCGATGTCTTTCCTAGACAGCTGACTTATACCAGCTAAAGGTATGAATTATACGTCATTAGGTGCGTAATGGCCTTGGGATGACTGCACACTAACAAAATTTTAAAAAAATAGCTGTTCTCGACGTTAAAATTAAGTTTTTGTTGAAAAATCCAGGACCCTCTTTGGTACGAAACAATTAGCCTGCGCCGGAAGTTAGGGTTGCCCATAAAAAGGGAAGTGATAGCGTTTCTCATTGGGCCAGGGTTGAAAAGTCGCGAAGCGGCTTTTCAACTCTGGTTATTATTATTATTATTACATACCAGGGTTGAAAAGCCGCTTCGCGACTTTTCAACCCTGGCCCCGTCTAACTTGATGAAATTCTTCACTCTGCATACGTCTCTCGAATTCCTATGGGGGAAAATGAGGAATTCCACTCTCTCACGTTATATATAGGCTGCCGCGACTTCCGGCGTATGCTAATTATTTCCTAACAAAGAAGGCTGCCGGATTTTTCAACAAAAACTCAATTTTAATGTCGAAAATAGCATAATTTGCAAAATCTGATATGCGTGCAGTCATCTCGGGGACGTTACGCACCCAATGACGTATCATACGTAGCCTAACACCCTTCCCCTCTTGAGATATCCTCCGGACACGGTGACGGAAGTTGCATTCAAATGCACACACACACACACACAGGAACTATTTTTTATATATAGTAGGATAATAAATATCTAATGTCCGTCTGTCCGTCCATGAATTCAATCCCGCCGCGAATCCCTAAATACGGTAGTTGGGGTTGAAAATTTTCACCGGAGCTGTTCCGTTTCGCCTTTTTCGCCCGGGAGGGCCAGCGCTGGTACGACAGAAAACCTGCCAGTACCAAGCCGAGTTTGTCTATCAAAAGCTACCGAAAGTCGCGAGTGGTACGTTGGAGGGCAATCAGCTCATCCGGTTCGAGGTGGTCGAGCACTTGTTTCAGGCATTCCAGCGGGAGACGGCTGATCTGCATGCCTACAACGCAACGAATTGAAACGTGCGAAAACCATTGAACTGGGACGCTAATTGTGGCTGGGCGTGCGCAAGAACGGCAGTTGGCGTGCTTCCCCGTTAACCAGGGGCGGGGGGGGCGGGTTTTAACGGGGAAAGCTGATTTTTATTTTCACGTCTATACTACCGGTTGATAATAAATAGTGTAGTTTTACAATGTTTTTTAGTACTTTTTCATTCGTGGGAAGTTAAAAACAAATTATTTTCGCGGGTCGAAAATTTTGGCTGTTTTGGCCATTTTTAATACAGTTTTGACCAAAATCGTCAAAAAATTTTCGTAAATTTTTATAATTTTTTATAAGGTTCTGGTATCTAAAATCTGTGTAAAATACTATAAAAAGGATTTATATTAGGATAGAGGGCCGTACGGAATTACTGGGTAAAAGAGAGCCCCCCCGTAAAGTGGAAGCATCGAAGTTGGTGAAAACCACAAAAGATTTGCGGCACTGGGAAAAGTTGTAAGGCAAGTGAAAGAGGAGATTCGAATGACGCGAAGTAGGTGGGGACGACAGATGCGGCCCTGTATCCGGGGCAGCTTCCTGGATAACGATAAATACACGCACGAATGGAGTTCCCAAACTGCTAAATTTCGGGTGGAAATCGATTATGGACCCAGTCGGACGGACGGAGCCCCCTCAGTTTGTGATCAGTTGCACCTCCAACCTGTCAATCTCCGCAGACAGGTAGCCGACTTGTGCCTTCTCCACATGTTCTATCGTTACCCATCCAATATCTCCGTCTCCTCATCAGTTTTCTCTATTTTCTATTTTTCATAGGGTTTGCGTGGAAACCCCCCAAACTTTTCCAGACTTAAATTAACTAAAAAAAGTTCAATTAAAGCGATCTTTACAACGCAAAATTACCCATGTTTTTAAGCAAAATTAGGGATTTGCAGCCGGAAGTCGATGTAAATCGCTGCAAAGTCCAAAAAGGTAGCCGAAAAAACGGTTCAGAATTCCAGGAAAAACGGTATTTTCGTTATAACTCGATAACGACTCTAGCTATGGGGCTATAAGTGAGAATTGTTCTTATATAGGGCTTCATACACCTCTGGTCCAAATTTGGCGCCGATTGGATGTAACACGGCGAAATGCCAGATGGTTCGTTTTTTTGGGACAGCCTGTAGTAGATCATCCCAATCCGGATTCGGCCAACACGGACCTAAAAGGGAAAAAAACCCTTACCCGTCCCTTTAAAAGCTCTATACCTTACGGCACAGCATTTATTCAGTGGAAACGGGGCAAAGAAAATAGTGTGTGGAGAGCACAAAGAAAAATCAGACATTTTCCACGATAATTCCAGGCAATGGGGGTGGGAGGGCGGGTCTATTTGGTCTTTTATCGTCCTTGTCATTCTTGTCGTCGACGGTCTTCTTCTCTTCGGTGGTCTTCTTCTTGTTGTCCTCGGTCGTCTTCTCCTGTGTCATCTCCGTCCGCCTGTCTTCGGTCGTCTTCTTCTGCTTGTCGTCCTCCTTCTTCTCCTCGGGCTTCTTCGCCTCGGGCGGCTTCGCGGCGATCATTTCCCTAGAATGGCAAATTCTGGTTCTATTGCATTATCGGGGGGGGGGGGGTTTAATTCTAGAATTGCCTAACAGCTTATTAGTCTAGTCAACTATTTTAATATGTTTTTCGAAATAAAATTATGTTTCCACTAGAAAAAACCATTTAAAAACTATAAAAAATTCTTTCAAAAGGCGATATTTTGCTCAAAAACTGCCTTTTTTATCAATAAACCTGTTTCTTTTGTATTTTTTGACAAAAATTTCTGACATTTTTACCTTTTGAAATATCATAAAAACAATTTAAAATACTTCCGCTAGTTATATCTAAAAAATTGGATCATAAAAAATTTTTGTTTGCACTTTTGCCGTATTGGAAGGCACGGGCCGCGTCTACCTCTCCTGGGGGATAGCCCTCCCTGGCCTCCCTTCGACCAGCGCCTCGATAGCTCAGTTGGGAGAGCGTTAGACTGAAGATCTAAAGGTCACCGGTTCGATCCCGGTTCGGGGCATCCTTTTTGCTTTTTGGATTCTGGATTCGGTTTGTTATTCCGATGCGATCTAGCAGAGATTCTTTGAGGAATTGGAGGGATGGACGGGGCAATCTAGCAGAGATTCTTTGAGGAATTGGAGGGGATGAGGAGGCAGGCTAGCAGAGATTCTTTGAGGAATTGGGGGGATGGACGGGGGTAGGCTAGCAGAGACCATTGAGCAACACACCTCAGCGCGGTGATGATGATGCCCTCCTCGGCGTAGCCGTACTGCACGAAGCGGGACATGTACTGCTTGAGGAAGTAGTTGCACACCGACTCCTCGCGGCCCATCACCGACTAAAACATTCTGCTTGTAAGCGGATGCGGTCGTACCTGTACAATCAGCTTTCTCTCGCCGTAGTCCCGTTCGTACTCGGACAGCATCTCCTCCTCGGTGAGCCCCACCTGGAAAACGCATGGATTTTTGACTTCAGCGGTCCCTTAAAAGATTTCCCTAAACGTCTCTGCTAGCCTGCCCACCGGAAATTTTCGGTTTTAGCCTTCTACGGTCCCAGAGAGCGTTTTGGCTGATGGTCATTGCTAGCCTACTCTCCCGAAAATTTTTCATTACAGGCTTCTACGGCCACTTGGAGCGTTTTCAAAATTTTCTCTGCTAGACCTGCTTCCCGATCAAGTAGATGAGCAGCGCGGGGTTCTGCGCGTACTGGGCGGCGTCGCGGGCCGCTTGGAACTTCTTCTCGCTGGCCACCTCCTGAAAAACGAGGTTTTAGAGAGATCTAGTGAGGAAAAGTCGGCTGATTCTTGCCTTCCAAGTCTCTTTAAACCCGTCCAAAATCCTCACACTGAATCTGCGATGATAGAGAAAGCAGAGGACGAGGATGACCACGTCGGCGATGATGATCAACCCCGAGCCGACTGGAAATAGTCATTTCGGAGTTTTTTTTTGGCCAAAAATCATACCAATATTCAGAATGGCCGCCGTCAGAGCCAACGACATCGCGGAGGTCAAGAATGGATTCGAAAATCGGATTTTTTTGGTTCAAAAAGGGTCCCAATATGCAAATTTACCTAATTATGCAAATCGAAAGGAATCTCTGCTAGCCACCCCCGTCCATCCCCTTCAATTCCTCAAAGAATCTCTGCCAGCCTGCCCTTCCATCCATCGATTTTCCCCGTTTTCTTGCCCAACAGAAAACGTCGCAAAAGGTCATCAATCAGTCTGGGGAATTTTTTGCCAAATTCCCACAGTTTAAGGGCCCAAAAAATAAAATATTACCCTAGTTTTTCAGCGGCCACCTTCCAAATCATCGACTTTCCGATGGGAAAATGAGAAGCGAGCGCTACCCATTCCGTGACAGTTCATTTGACAACTACTCGGAACGAGATGTGGCTCGGAATTGGGCCAATTTGTCTTCTCCTGCTTCTACAATCCAATGTCGAGGCCAGGAAGGCAAAGGTAGCTAGCAGAGATTCTTTGGGGAATTGGAGGGGATGGAGGGGGCAGGCTAGCAGAGATTCTTTGAGGAATTGGAGGGATGGAGGGGCAGGCTAGCAGAGATTCTTTGAGGAATTGGAGGGGATGGAGGGGGCAGGCTAGCAGAGATTCTTTGAGGAATTGGAGGGGATGGAGGGGGCAGGCTAGCAGAGATTCTTTGAGGAATTGGGGGAATGGAGGGGCAGGCCAGCACAGATTCTTGAGGAAAGGCAAAACCACTATTTTTGTTTCAGAAAAAAGTCTCGGAAAAATGCAAAGACGCACCGGACAAATCGAGGCAGGCCATCTGCGAGCGGATGCAGGCTTGGACGAGACAGGCCAAGGTTTGAGTTCACGGGTCCTTTAAAGGGGCTAGAAAGCCAAAAAATCTGCCCTCTTGGCTCTTGACCGCGACACTCCAAAGGACACGGTGTACCATGTCATATGGAGCGCCGCGTAGCTGCCGTTACCTAGGCGCTGAAAGCGGTCGATTCTCACCTTTGCCGTTTCCTTAAGATCGCCCGAAATTCCAGAAAACCGAGCACATCCGGCCAAAAGCAAAGAATGTGCCTGCGAAGCGTCTGCTCGACGGGACCGTGGCCACCGAAAAGGATCTGGGTGATTGCCTGTCGATGCGTTGCGTGTGCGAAGCGCTAACCGGTATGTCGCTTCGTAGCGCGTGTTAAATAGCGGCCAAGCGGTATCGGACCTCGCGGCGGACGTTTTGGCGTCCGAAACGCGCTTGCTGTGACGTTCCCTTTAAAAGTTGCTTTTCAGGCATCAGCTCATCCAACTGTACCTACAGAAGCTACCAACTGCAAAAAGTAAGCTTCAAAATTGGGCCCAGCATCCGCAAAAAAAACTCTAAATACCGGAACACAAGGGCGGATACCATCGCCTTTTAGTCGGTCCGGAAGGAATACCGGATGATGACCGATCTCGACCGGGCACGCTACCAACAAGCACTCAGAAAACTGAAAGACAACGGAATGTACGATAATTACAGTAAGTGACGCAACGAAAAGGCAGCCTAGCAGAAAGTCTTTGAGGAATTGGAGGGGATGGACGGGGGAAGGCTAGCAGAGATTCTTTGAGGAATTGGAGGGGATGGAGAGGGCAGGCTAGCAGAGATGCTTTGAGGAATTGGAGGGGATGGGCGGGGGCAGGCTAGCAGAGATTCTTTGAGGAATTGGAGGGGATGGACGGGGGAAGGCTAGCAGAGATTCTTTGAGGAATTGGAGGGGATGGACGGGGGAAGGCTAGCAGAGATTCTTTGAGGAATTGGAGGGGATGGAGAGGGCAGGCTAGCAGAGATTCTTTGAGGAATTGGAGGGGATGGACGGGAATCCAAACCCACTTTTCAGTCATGTACCACTTGGTGGCAAACGATGACGGCATCGGCGGTGCTCACAACGGTCCAGCGTTTCTCCCCTGGCATCGCGAGACGCTGAAGAGGTACGGTAGCGGGGGTCAATTTTAGAGGCCGGCATTTTAGATTGGAGCTGTCGCTGCGCAAAATCGATCCCCAGGTCTCGCTGCCGTACTGGGACTCAACCCTCGACGCGCCGCTGCCAGATTTGACGTCTTCGGTGATGTTCCTGTATGCTTATGACTCTGTTTGTGATGTCTCTCTCTCTCTCGCTCTCTATCTCTCTCTCTGCCCCTCGCTATCTCTGTCTCTTTCTCTTTTGCGTCCTTTCTCTCCCCATCTCTCTCTCTCTCTCTTCTCTCTCTCTCTCTCCTCTCTCTCCTCTCTCTCTCTCTCTCTCTCTCTCTCTCTCTCTCTCTCTCTTTCTCTCTCTATTTTCCGAATTTTGCAGTGATGAACTGGCCGGCCCAGCCCAAGGTCTCGTCAACTCCGGCCCTTTCAAGGGATACGCAGATGAGGTACGAGGTTTACGAGCAACCCCCTTAACTTTAAAGGGACCTCGAAGCCAGAAAATTTGCAGATTTTACCCTTACGATTCCCTTTAAAAGTCTTCGGAATCGCGACTTTCGACCCCGTTTCGTTGAACTGGGTTTAGACAACTAGGCAACTCTCAAAATAACACCAGGCAAAGCCACGCCGGGCGAGAATCCAACGTAGTTTCGACGCTATTCCGTGTTTTCGGCTAACTGTCGAGACCTAGTCGCTGAAAAGGGTCGATTCTAGCGCTTTCCTGTACTTTTAAAATTGGTCTAAGTGCCTTTCCGACTCTTTAAAAACCAAGAATTCTAGCCAAACGCCACCGACGGCGCCACCCGCGCCCACATTCTACGCAATACCGCCGGGGAATTCAAGGCCGTGTACAGAGGTGCGTTTCGTAGCCGCAAGATTTTCATATCGTAATTGTGTAGAAGATCGGGTGCAGCTGATCCTGAGCTTCCCGAACGTCTCCCAGATGTTGGCCAGGTCGAATAGCGTCGGGCCGGTGAGTAAGAAAGGGAATTTGGTTCTACAGTATTGTTCAGAATTGCCCTCCGAATCAGTACAACTGTCTGGAGTACGAGCACGGAATTGTGCACAATACGGTGGATGGTAAGGAGAGAAAGAGGGAGACAGAGAGAGAGAGAGACAGAGAGAGGAGAGAGAGAGAGAGAGTGAGAAAATATTTCTTCAGAAGACATGTACGACACCAACACCTCACCACGGGACCCGCTTTTCTATATGCACCACGCCTTCACCGATTTGATATGGGAGATGTGGAGACAGAAATGGCAGGTAGTCAAAGAAGAAGATGGCGTAACTGTCACCATCCCTTTAAAACGAATCGGCCGGCGGGGCAGGCTAGCAGGGAGTCTTTGCGGAATTGGAGGGGATGGAGGGGCAGGCTAACACAGATTCTTTGAGGAATTGGAGGGGGTGGAGGGGCAGCCTAGCAGAGATTCTGCAGGAAAATCGTGTTTCTATGTCGCAACCCCTTTAAAAATCCGCTCGTAGACTCGTGACGAACGTGCAACCCAATGGCCACCGAGACCGGAGTGTTCGACGGCGCAACACCAGCTGAATTGGCCCATGGCACCGTACTCGAATCTACTGTATGTGCTCTCTCTCTCTCTCTCTCTCTCTCTCTCTCTCTCTCTCTCTCGGTCTCTCTAGCTCCCTTTCAGCAACATTGACGGTATTTCCAACGATTATATGGACTACATGATCACCTACGCCCCAAGGCCAACGTGCAATGCGACGACGGCTTGTGGTAGTCGGTCAGTTTCAGATTTAAAGGGAGTGGGACACCAAGATGCCACTATGAACATATTTCCAGTTTCCTGTTCTGCGACCTGACAAAGCCGGCAGCCCCACGTTGCGTGTCGAAGATTAAGTTGGGCGGGCAGGTTTGTGGTTTTTTTCTTCGTCCGCTTGCTCGGTCGCGACGCGTCTGTAACGCGACCGCACAGGGATTGCGACACCGCCGCAATGCGGTTACAGCGTGGCCGCAACGCAACCGCGACGCATGTGATGCAGCCGTGACACACCAATGTGATCGTGCCGCTGCCGCAACGTAGACGCAGCGTAACCGCAGCGCAACCAAACACAGCCGTAGGGCGGGCGCAACCTGATCGCACGCGACCACGAGCAACGCATCGGCACCATAGGCTTAGCGCGACCGCCACGCGACGCCGACCCAGCGGCGGCGTGATCGTAAGCGCCCGCCACGAGAACACCACGCACGCCGCAACGTATCCGCAGCGCGAGCGCATGCGCCTGTGAGACTGCCGTAACGAATCTGCAATGTAGTCGCACAGCTGCACCACCGCCGTAGCCATGCCGCAGCCAACGCAGCGGCGGCGTGATCGTAAGCGCCCGCGACGCAGCCGTAACGCGGGCGCAACACCGTGGCAACGTATGCATAGCATACGTAACGCCCCCGCAACGCAGCCCAAAAACAGCCCGTAACGCATGCGCAACGTGCGATACCTTTTTTCAGTGCGATACCTTCACGGCCAGCGACGTGTGCTACGGTGGCGTCTGCGTGGCTGGAAAATGTGCCACTGGAGCGACGTAGCTCTGATAAGACGCAAACCCAGCATAAATCTATACAGCTTTCCAGAAATTTTCTGTGGCAATATAATTTATCGGCACCAAATGCACCTTTAATAATTTAAAAAATTATTAAGAAGCCGGGGGATCAGCTCTTCAGCTCCTTGCTCGCCTCGCTGAAGGGCACGCTGCAAAGCACGTCAAAAATGAGTTAATTAGGCAATTTTCGTTATGGAAAATATGAGTTTAGTGGTTACCACCATATAGATAAATCTAAGCATAAAATTAAACTGCCCCATAAAACTAAAAATCTTAATTTTACCTATTCTGAGCCGGATTTGACCCGGCGCTGAACGCCGACGTGTCGATCGGCTCCTCGTTGGCGATTGTTGCCTGGAAAAGGAGATTTTCTTTTTGGTTTCCACACAGTTTTTCTGCTGGATTGCCCCAGGCTTTATATGCCCCGACTGGCCAGCTGTCTCTGCCCCTTTAAAACTGAATTTTACCTCCAAGTCCTCATCACTAGGCAAGTCGGCTGGGTGGATGTAGGACAGCGGGTCGACCTCGCCGGCCGGGAACTCCTGAACGTAGTTGTAGCCTCGATTTTGGGACAGCGATCTTTGCTAAAAACTCGAATAAAAAAAATCAGCTAACCGCAAGAATTTCGGGCTTTTCATCGTCGTCCTCTTTGTCGAGTCCGCCGGTTTCGGAGCCGTTCAGGAGCTGGAAGTTTCGTTAGAATGTCTCTCTCCCTCTCGCGTTCTCTGTCTCTCTTTCTCTCACGCACTCTCTCTCGCTCACTTTTTGTCTCTCTTTCTCTCACTCACTCGCTGTCTCACGCGCTCTCTGTTTTTCTATATCGCTCTCTGCCTCTCCCTCTCTATGTCTCTCGGTCTCTCTGCCTCTCACGTTCTCTCTCTCTCTCTCTCTCTCTCTCCATTCCTTGCAGGTGTGAGAGAGTGAGAGAGAGCAGAAACCAGCGGAGAGACAGAGAAGGAGAGCCAAATTTCCTTAAATCGCACCTCAGCCTCAAAATCGGGTCCCTGCTGTTTCGTGGCCGTGACAAAAGCTGGTGCCTCTGTCGTCTCACTTTTCTGACCTCCCTCCTCCGGATCCTCGATTACCGTGGCTTCATCATGACCATTCGGCTCCTCTTCGATCCCCTCGTTTAGGAGATAGTCCGAGAGGTCCTGGCACGAACTGTAGATGACAAAATTTTCTCTAAGATTACCGCGCTGTCGAGCTCCTCGCCGAGTTCTTCGTCGCCACTTGAGCCCTCACGGCCCTGTTTTCGATCTGAAGGTTTGCAAATAGTGTCGTAGCCGGATAGACGGATGGAGTTGAACGCGTCGTAGGGGCGCTACGTAAGGCGATAGAGAGCGAGAGAGATAGCAAGAGAAAGCGAGTGAGAGAGAGAGAGAGAGAGAGAGCGCGAGATCGAGAGCGAGCGGGAGAGGGAAAGAGGCAGAGAGCGACAGTGAGAGAAAGAGAGGTGAGTCAGAGAGAATAGCGAGAGAGAGAGGGAGAGAGATAGTGAGAGATAAGGAGCGCGAGAGAGATAGAGAGAAAGGGTGAGTGCGAAAGATCCACTAAAACCTACGAATCTTGAACGTCACTACCGCCTTGGTATCGCCAGTTCTTGTGAAGAGGAACAGAGGCACAAAATGGTCAGCCGAGATGAGTTTCCGGTTTGCGTAGCCCGGGCAGCAGAACCTGGAAAATTCAGATTTTAAAGGGGCCAGTAAGACAAAAGTCACCGAAAACTCTAACCATTTTTGCTGGGCTTACCGATATCCTGTCCCGCGCTTGTCTCTCTGCGGCTTCAACTCAATCGCCTGGCGCCAGCATCCGGATTCGCAGAGAGTACCGCCAAGTTGCTTGAGGCGCATCTCAATTTTGCGGCCTTTCGGGGCCTTAAAAAGGTATTTTTCAGGGTTTAGCAAAAGCTAGAAATCTAAAGGTTTTGATGAAAAAACAGAACGTTACAAAATATAATAATTTTTATGGTAAACTTACCACCAAATGATAGGCGCACGTCCGGAGGTACTTGGCATTTTTGTTCGGTTTGATGTGGATTCTGAATGGGGATTTTGACATACTCTCCCTACCGCTTTTCTCTGTCGCTCTCTCTAGCTCTCTCTATCACGCTATCTCATTGTCTCGCTCTCTCTAGCTCCCTCTCTCTAGCTCTCTCGCTCTCTCTCGCTCTCTTTCGCTCTCTCTCTCGTTGGCTCTCTCTCGCTCTCTCGCCTACCGTAATTTCCTAGTTGCCCTGGTCACCCGAATCAACCCTCCACATCCGGGGACCGTGGGCTTTTCCCTCCTTGAGCAATCGCGACCGCTGAATCCTTCTGGGCATCTGAAAATTTTTTCTAGCCGTTTGACTACAAGCGTACAATATAGCGATCCGATAGATACACGAGAAAAGCAAAAAAAAACACACTTGCAATATCCACAGTGATTTGGATTATTGTAGCCGCCGTTGAAGCACTTGGCTCGAAGTGTGCAACGGCCTTAAGTCGCAAATTCAATATAGACAGCCAAGGGACAAACTTCAATGGTCCTTTAAAGCACAGAGGAAACGCGGTAATCGATCCCGTCAGTCGGCTAGGTCTAGACAGCCACGCGGCGCTCAAAAATCATGCTTTTGGGCCGAGTTTTTCGGGGCGCGTCTCGGCAGCATATATCAAAATGCGATCCACCGGTGTGATTTGGAGTTCCGCGTATCTGTCTAGACCTGGCCTATCAAAAGGGTTGGATTTTTTCACTTCCTAGCTCCTTTAAAACCGACTTAAACAGTCATAATGCAAATTCAGGAGTCGGACGTCGAGGAAAGTTGGGCCGGTCAGGGAGCCCATCGTATATTGGAAATTCGGGTCGTTGGCGATCACCGAGGGGACATTTGGCTGTTTGGAAAATCTAAAAAACACCCTTTCTCTCTTTCTCTCTCTCTTTCTTTCTCTTTCTCTCGTTCTCTCTCTCCCACTCTCCCTTCTTCTCTCTCTCTCTCTCTCTCTCTCTCTCTCTCTCTCTCTCTCTCTCTCTCTCTCTCTCTCTCTCTCTCTCTCTCTCTCTCTTTCTTTCTTTCTTTCTTTCTTTCTTTCTTTCTTTCTTTCTTTCTTTCTTTCTTTATTTCTTTCTTTCTTTCTCTCACTCACTCCGTAGGCCCATAATGCATCACCGATCCAATTTCATACGGTACCCCATAAGTTTTTAGCTGCGAAGGACCGACCTAAAATGTAATTTTTAGAAATCAAGCTTCAATGATTTAGTCACCTTTCCAAAATTGTAGTAAAGGCCGTTCGGGACTCGATTGGCCAGAACTTGTACGTGCTTGTCGCGATCGTAGCTGAAATATGAGAAAATCCACCAAAGTAGACTTGCTGGTCCCTTTAAAATTAGCGAAACCGTACCGACTCTGTTCATGGAAGAGACCAAGCGCGTGAGCAACTTCGTGAGAAGAGATGCCGAACTGAAAACAGGGTCTAAGATGAGGGCAGGCTAGCAGAGATTCTTTGAGGAATTAGAGCGGATGGAGGGGGCAGGCTAGCAGAGATTCTTTGAGGAATTGTTCAAGGCCTAACCGGTTCACATCCGTCCCCAATAGACAGCCACTGTTGGCCCTGGGATCCGTCCCTTCCAACCGAACTCCAGCAGCCTTGATCGTGGCCGATGTAGTAGAGGTATTGCTGAAAAATAGGAAGGAATTTTGTCTCTCTCTCTCTCTCACTCTCTCTCGCTTTCTCTCTCCCTCTCCTTTCTTTCTCGCTCTCGCCCCCTCCCACCCAGTCTCTCCCTGTATCTCTCGCCCTCTCTCCCTCTCTCTCTTGCTCTCTCTCTCTCTCTCTCTCTCTCTCTCTCTCTCTCTCTCTCTCTCTCGCTACCTTTTCCTTCTTCCTCGGTCTAAACCGAATACAAGTATGCCGTTGGAAGAAGTTCATCGCCGACATCACGGAGGTTTTCTTGAGTTTGTCTAAGACGGTAGCCTTTTACCAACACGCTATCAACATACTCATGCTCTTATGATAGGAAAACGGTACTCCATCCTTCCAAATTTGCTTCGGGTAGGCCTTTGTCCTAAAACACGATGTTAGAAGCATATGTCCGGCATATTCGATTACGGACCGCAACCAAAATTTTGCAAAAGTCCGCAGAGACCGCTTACCTAAACGCTTGCCGCTTGTCACGATGAAAATCGGATGTCTCGGCGATCATCTCCTCAAGAACGGCCTTGTCGGGACGGATATCATGCTCGAAGAGGAGATCACTGGAATCTGTTTTCATCAAACTAACAAAACGCACGAATAATTGCTGTTGAGCTGACTGATCGATATGGCCTGCTTGATCGCCGGGTCGTACGGCTCGACAAAGTCGCTCGACACGGGCCGCGCTTCCAAATCGGCTTGAACTACGGTGGATAGGGCATCGAATAGCGCTAGGTTTTCGCCGTATTTGGAAATGTCGCGTAGCTGAAAAAATCGGGAGGATTCGAAACTACAGTAAACTACAATATTTGCAGAATAAATACGTCTTCTAAATATTTTCGTACTTACCGTTAATTCATGTTGCTCATCGCAAAATACCGACATCCATAGTAGGGCCCCCGTTATAAATACCCGCATTTTTGGCATAAGCACCTAAAATCACCTATGAGAGTATGATTCTCCCTATTAATTTGGCAATTTATAGTAATCTAGAATTAGCGAAAAGATTTTAGTAGATATACCATTAAATTAAATTTAAAGAGAGGTGTGACGAAAACTTTAATGCGGACCACAGAATAGAACGCAAAATCGGCGGAAAAAGTATTCCTCAAAATTCGTATAGGATTTTTGAAGCCCGCGATACGCAACGCGCGCGGTTGGCATTCCACGGCATCAAACGGCGTGCGCTGCGTGTTTGCGGCAAATTTCTTAGGCAAGCCGTTGGCAAAACGAATTCGTAGCCATGTACGCTCTAAAAAAACCGGGCGCGTTGCGTGGCGCGCGCGGCAGACTCCATAGGCAAAATCTATAGTCAAAAACTAATAGCCTTGCCTTGACAGCTCCCTTAAACCAGAAAATTTAGAAGAAAAACAACTTTAAAAAATCCCTCTGCAAAACGTCATCGGAGCTTCAAAAAGGGAACACCCGGTTCAGGCTAGCCCGTCTGAGCTTATGGTTGTTCGTTTGGTGTGTACCCGCTGCGCTCTCAGCCCTTTCCCTTTTCTGTCCACGTTTTCAGATCGCCACCACCGGCTGGGGGGCAGCATATCTGGGGCATCTCTTGGGCTCGTTCTTTTCGGCTTTTCCGCTTTTCCCCCGCACGGCTTTTCACGCCTGCGTATACCTGATCTGTGGAGGGGGCGGGTGGAAAAAGGGCTGGGAGCACGAGGGTGCTGGGAATGGGTTTAAAGGGGCTGGGAAGGAAGGGGAAAAGAATGGCGGAAAATACAGGAAAAACAATTTCTCGCTATCTCTCTCACTCTCTCGCTTTCTGTCACTCTCCCTCTCTCTCTTATTCTGCCTCTCTAGCTCGTTCTCGCGCTCTCTGTCACTCTCTCTCTCTCGTTCTCGCCCACTCGCTCTCACTCATTCTCGCTCTCTCTCGCACACTCTCTCTAGCTCTCGCGCTCTCTGTCACTCTCTCTCGCTCTCGCTCTTTCTCGCTCTCTCTTATTTTGCTCTTTCTCTGTCACTCGCTCGCTTTCTCTCTCCCTCGCTCTCCCTTTGTCACTCTCACGCTCACTCTCTCTCTCCCTCTCTCTCTCTCTCTCACTCTCTCTCTCGTTCTTTTTTGGCAGCCCTCCAAATTGGCTTTTTGAAAATAGTTTCCTTTCCCCGGGATATCTGTCATTTGCAGGATGCTGCGTGGGACGTTGCTATTTTGAACCCGCAAGAACTAGATTCCAGCCGATTTTTGGGATTGACACGTCCGAAAGGATGATTTTTCTAAGAAATCCCTGCTAGCTGGGCCTTTGTGGCTCAGCTTGCGGCTTGTATCTTTGAGAAGTTCCGGATTCAAGACACGCGCCTAATCAACTTTGGCTGGAGGGGTTCCTGGATTTTGAGACTTGACGCCCTATAAGGACCAGGGGAGATGCTGTCACGATGTTGAAGTCTCCTTTGAGTGTTCCAGAAACAGATCCAAGGTTCTCTGCTAGCCTGCCCCATCTTTTGATCAACTGCCGCCTCTCGTCGATCGCTTAATGCTTCTAGCCCCTTTAAAAGCCATAAAATTCCTCAAAGCCCTCTGCTAGCCTCCTCTTTACGTTTAGATGAAGGCGTCGCCTCAGCGGTAAAAGCTAAGCTGGCAGATTTTTTTTGTAAAAAGCTAGATTAACTTGTTGATGCTTCAAAACAAGCTCAGGTCAAATTTCCTAATGGTCTGAAAATTGAGTTCTAAATTTAGACATGGGCAGCTGGCAGGGATTCTTTGCGGAATCTAGTCTAGACTTGCTGGTCACTTTAAACGCCCCCAAACGGAGCCAGACTAATTGAAAAAGTCTAGCCCCGCTGCCTGGCTGGGTATAATTTAGGGCCAACCGCCAAGCTATTAGTCAAAACTACCTCAAATTTTCAGCAGGGCCGTTTTTAGGGAGAGAGAGACGGATAGAGAGAAAGAGAGAGAGAGAATGAGAGACAGAGCGAGAGAGACTGAGAGAGAGGAGACAGCAAGAGAGGCAAATTAGTTTTACCATGCCTTAACTGTCTCCAGAAACCCCCTTGTTTATTGGTCACGAGACGAAGCCCAATTTCCTCGTACACTTCATAAATTAAAATCTACCGTAATCCTGGGAGGCAGACGCGAAATTGGGCCCTAAAAAGTGCCCACACAATTTTGTCGGGATTCTTGTGATTCGTAGGTTTGTGATGGGGCTGCTCGGACCAAACTCCGGATTTTGAGGCCCAGAATGGTTAAATGGTCGCTGCTAGCTTGCCGTATTCTCAAAAATTTTAATTATCTAAGAATCTTTGCTAGCTTGCACTGAATTTTCTGGAAAGCCAATTCCTCAAAGAATCTCTGTTAGCCTGCCCCCTCCATCCCCTCCAATTCCTCAAAGAATCTCTGCTAGCGTGCCCCCTCCATCCCCTCCAATTCCTCAAAGAACCTCTGCCAGCCTGCCCCCTCCATCCCCTCCAATTCCTCAAAGAATCTCTGCTAGCCTGCCCCTCCATCCCCTCCAATCCCTCAAAGAATCTCTGCTAGCCTGCCCCCTCCATCCCCTCCAATTCCTCAAAGAACCTCTGCCAGCCTGCCCCCTCCATCCCCTCCAATTCCTCAAAGAATCTCTGCTAGCCTGCCCCCGTCCATCCCCTCCAATTCCTCAAAGAACCTCTGCCAGCCTGCCCCCTCCATCCCCTCCAATTCCTCAAAGAATCTCTGCTAGCCTGCCCCTCCATCCCCTCCAATCCCTCAAAGAATCTCTGCTAGCCCGCCCTAAACTTCTGGTTTCTGGAACCAGATGTCATTTCTCGCAAGATGCAAAGATCCAGAGCACACCTACTAAAAACCACACCCCCAAACTAGACCTTTTATTATGCAACGAAATTAATGTATTCACCGGCATCCTCAACTTCCTTTTCCAGCCTGGGTTTCCCCCTGAAAAATCCTCCAAAAAATCGGCTCCGGAGTCAAACATTTTTGAGTGTTTTCCAGGTCTACCCCTTTCACCCCATTGGGTCAAGTTATGCATTTTTAACAGCAGGGAATCGGGTTCTTTGGCATTCAAAACGTCCGTTGTTTTTCGAGTCGAGTTTCCGACAATGGCTTGACAAATTCCGGTGATTTTTAAAGGGACTGACAAGGTATGGCTCAGAATGTTGTTCTGGATTGTCAATAAGTTTGTTTTCCCATCCATCTCCTTTCATTTCGTGATGAATTAATTTTCTTTCGCGTGGTTAAGCGGCGCGGCGCGTTGCGTACAGCAGATCGTCAAATTCCATAGTAGTGCGGTGCGTGGAGCGCCGCGGTAGTGTCAATAGGGAATGCGTTGCGGGTCGCGGTGCTGTCACGGCTAGAGCTTGAGCGTTGCGCGTCGCGGCACGGTAACACTGGTAGTATGCGCGTTGCGTGTGGCGGCGCCGAAAAGTCTGTTGCATGTGTGTTGCGTGTCGCGGCAGCGCGGCCTTTGCTTTATGGCGCGTGAAGGACAGCATTCAGCGATCCGTAACGCGAATGCCGTTTTCTAAAGGCGTGTTATGGGGCGGTTTTCCAATTTTCTTGGGTATCTGTAAAAAGTGGTTCATCATGTATTCCCTAATCTGGCTTCTCCCGCGTAACTTGGTCTCCTAATCAAAGTTTCTGAAATTTTAAGCGATCATGTTCTTCGAGGATTTCTATAAATCCTTGGAATTCCGTCCTTACGCTGCAATTTTCAATTCCTCAGCGACCTCTGCTAGCCTGTCGTGCTGGATATGAGAGTCCCTTTTTCCTTAAAGATCTCTGCTGGCTTACTTCGGACTTTAGCTCTCAAGGGCTCAAATTTACACCGAAGATCTCTCCGAGCCCGCCGAATGTTCCGTGGTAGTTTGGTCTCCCTGATCCGGATCTAAATTAACTTTTCAATTCCCCAATTTTAGGCAATCAAAAATTAATCCGAGCGAAAAAACTCCCTGGAACCACCAAAAAACCCGCCTACATTCGGAGATCCGGGGCCAGAAAATACATCAATTACAGATGCTGATATCATTATTGAGGATCAGAGGAGAGAGAGAGAGAGAGAGAGAGAGAGAGAGAGAGCGAGTGAGAGAGGGGGGAAAGAGATAACAAGAAGGGATTCATCACAAAACAGACGCAGCGCTCCCAATTTACCTATTGTCCACCACCAGGGCCCCGTCTAATTAAGATCTATATTATTACAGGGATTTAGTCACGGCTGGCCGCTCAGGTACACACATAAAACCCCATTTTCCAGGACCATACTATTTTTCCGCAAAGAATCTCTGCTAGCCTGTCCCCTCCATCCCCTCCAATTCCTCAAAGAATCTCTGCTAGCCTGCCCCCCTCCATCCCCTCCAATTACTCAAAGAATCTCTGCTAGCCTGCCCCCTCCATCCCCTCCAATTCCTCAAAGAATCTCTGCTAGCCTGCCCCCTCCATCCCCTCCAATTACTCAAAGAATCTCTGCTAGCCTGCCCCCTCCATCCCCTCCAATTCCTCAAAGAATCTCTGCTAACCTGCCCATTGTTGCTCCAAAAATGAGGTTCGTTTCCTTTTTCCGGAAACGTTTAGTGAGATCATAAAAAACCCCGTCCAATCAAGGCCATTTCACGCTCTGTTCCTCGATTCTCACGTAGAAATGGCGTACACGGGAGGGCTTTGTAATCCTGCAACGCGAAGGTTTAAAAATCGCATGAAAAGTGTTGTAAGTCGGTGGCAGATCAATTCCTTAAAAAACACTGCTATCAGCTATCTCTCCAGTTTCGCCAGGTCCCCAAATGATCCCTGCTGGACTGCTCAGACCCTTTAAGGCAGATGGAAACAACGTTGTTGCTATCCCCAAACTTCCCAAATATTTCTCTGCTAGCTGCCCTGTTCTGTCGATGCCCCAAATAATTCTGCTAGCTGGGCAGGGTCGCCTGAACCCCTGCCTTCCAAGTCCCTTTAA